CCTTTACTCTCCTACGTTTTACCACAGGTTTAACGTGATTCATCTATGGAATATGGCCGAGAGACGCATTGAGAGCAAGTGAATAAATTGAGAACCTTATACTTTGCACCAAAAGCTAGAACTATTGGTTACTCAACATACTGATTTGTATAAGCAGAGATTGCACACGCGAGCTTAAACTTAGTATGAGTCTGCGATGGCAACCGATGACCACTCTGCTTATCGTCGACGTCTGAAATCGAAAATGGAACCCAGCAACGTGTCCTTTCCTAGACACATTTGAGCAGTTATTCAAGCGTTAGCTGTATTGTTGAGTCATATACCCGGAAAGTGAGAGTTGGACACTAGATTCCACTAAGGCAACACATGCTCAAAAATACTTGAGAAAGTAGCCTTTGAATTTGCCCGAATACAACACGAATGACCTGTAGTTTATGATCTTCACGATCCTTCTCCTTCTGACGCCGCATATCTGCTCCGCTGCCAGACTCGCGCTGCTTCAACATCTCAAATCCAGGCGCAGAAGCATTGAAAATCTCGTCTAAACGAAGTGAGAACTGGGCATGAAAATCACTGCAGATTGCAAATAGACAAACCTTGATCATTTTCATCTTCACTATCATCCAGAAGAGGTGTGAAGGCATAACGCTGATTATTGACCGACGGCCGCCATAAAATGACGATAACTATGAGGATGAAGCAAAACAGAACATGCCAGAAGGCAGTGTCCACCCATCTGTAAGATACGTACTACGTATGTTTCAAAACAGCTCGATGCCGAGATAGACTCAAAAAGCATACAGTTCCTTCCAGTCCTTCAAACATGTGGGGAAAATGTGAAATAGAAGACTCCAGATCATGAAAATAACCGAAGCAATGGCAGCAAACATAAGAGTATTCATAAAATGTCGATAGACCGTCAGCTTCACCTAAAATGCAATTCAGTCAATTTTGCACAATGAAACTGAAGGAGCATTCTCATAAAGATGCAAATCTGACACCAACCTCGTTCCTCCTCAACTTTAGCGTGCGCATAGTAGCGCCTAGTGACGTAAATATCCAATAGAAAATGACCATTTCTGTTATGACCAAAGGAAGTGCAGCAAACTGCTTCTGTTTAGCTGCTTCGACGTGATTCTACAAAAGAAAGAAAGGGTTCTTCACCTGCAAGAAGAATGAAAGCTGAACTAGGCGATGCTTTCGTGCTATCCTAAATCATGAAACTACCCAGATATTCCTGAGCAAAAACTTTTGAGACGATATTTGATTATTGAAACTATAGACTGGAATTAGGATAAACTTACCTTGGACACTCGAGCTAAACCTTCTATGGCGCAGAAAACGAAGTAGACTAATCCAACACCAGCAACCTAAAGATATACAAACATTGGAGCCATTTTGCCTAGATTTTAGAAATAGAGAGCTCAGATGGAATTTAGATCACTGAGCACAGCACTGGATCTAATTTCCGTCTGACAAGGGATGCTTGCGGAGTCGAAGTGGCCGATCACTACA